CCCCCCCCCCACCCTCTTTTAAAAATGTCACATCCGCCCCAGAATGACGCACGAGTGAGGCCAGGCTAATTAGGGAGATGTTCGTCATTTTGCTACACTTTTCCTGTGTAATTGGTAGGCCCGCTCTCTTCCAGCGAGAAGTCGGTGAGAGCTGTTCCCCTGAATAGTTCTAAAAGCTCTGGACCACATACTGATATCAGCTGCAATTTATGGGCGAGATGATAATGATTGCTCGGTAATGCAATATTAAACGCCGAGGTCTTTCTCGGTGCTGAGCAGAGCCGGAGCTCCAACCTTCTCCCAGCTTCAAAAAGGAACTCGAAACAGTCCCCAGCAGCCCCCTGCCCGGCCCCGTACCAGAAGAGGCGATCGGTGGGCCCCCAGCCCCTACCCCCCCCCCCAAATAAAGAAAAACTGAGGGGGTCTGAACGTAGCTCAAGTTCAGAAAATTTTGGTTTGGCTTCCAGAGCTGCGAGCCGGGAGCTCGCAGACGTCGCGACTCCCGACTCCCATGGCAGGTGCACATCTGAGGTGTTTGTTCTTCTTAAGGGCCGCAGCCTGGCTCTAGGCCGGCTCTAACAAGGACTTGAGGGAGCAAAAGGCTGTTAAAATTTTTTTTGCACTTTTGCTTCATTAGTTCTAGAAACCCGGGTTCCGGAGGCTGAGCGCTTTCCTGCATAATTTAAGAAATTAATGAAGGCATGCCTGATTTTTTTCAGCACTCTTTACTCTGTAAATTTGTTTCGTGTTTTTTTTTTTTTAACTGTCAGCGGAGGCCTTTGGAACCTAAATATTTTAATATTGAAGAAATGCAGGCCCTTTTCTGGTTAGCTCCGTTTTTAGGAACATGCGGTGTGGTGGAAATCAGGTGTTGTGGGTTGTAAAGGACCTTGAGTCTGAGTTCACCCCCAAAAGTCCATCCTCTGACCTTCAAGCAACCAAGTTCTCCTGATGACACGGGGGAGGGGGAGGGTCTCTGGTGGGGGTCCCCTCCTGAGAGCCAGTGTCAGAGACTGTGGCTTTCCGGGGTGGCCACCTGACCCCCTCGCTACTGAGTGGAGGCTCCAAGGGTTTCCTGCTTTGTTTCAATTCTTCCAAAGCTCACTTTGTATCGGGACATCAGATCGAAGCCATTAAAAAGTATCTGTGGGTGTGTGTGTAACTCTAGACTCCCAGGACTTGAAAGGACTTCAGAAGTTGTTTAATGTGAACATTGCTGAGGGACATAAAACAACAGTTTAGACAAAAGGGAAGATAAGGTATTGATACTGTGAGACTGTCAACTCTTCATGAATTTATTTACACATTTAATGTCATTCCAGGGGTGCCCAGCTGGCACGGTCAGTGGAGCATGTGACTCCTGATCGCAGGGTCCTCAGTTCGAGCCCCACGTCGGGCGTAGAGATTACTTTAAAAAATTTGTTAAGGGGAGCCTGGGTGGCGCAGTCGGTTGGCGTCCGACTTCAGCCAGGTCACGATCTCGCGGTCCGTGAGTTCGAGCCCCTCGTCGGGCTCTGGGCTGATGGCTCAGAGCCTGGAGCCTGTTTCCGATTCTGTGTCTCCCTCTCTCTCTGCCCCTTCCCCGTTCATGCTCTGTCTCTCTCTGTCCCAAAAATAAATAAACGTTGAAAAAAAAAACAATTAAAAAAAAAAATTTTGTTAAAAAGGGGCACCTGGGTGGCTCAGTGGTTAAGCCTCCGACTTCAGCTCAGGTCATGATCTCACAGTCTGTGGGTTTGAGCCCCGCGTCGGGCTCTGGGCTGACGGCTCGGAGCCTGGAGCCTGCTTCAGATTCTGTGTCTCCTCCTCTCTCTGCCCCTCCCCTGCTCATGCTCTGTGTCTCTCTTTCTCAATAATAAACATTTAAAAAAATTTTTTTTAAATGTGTTAAAAAATTTTTTTTTTTATGTTTATTCATTTTTGAAAGACAGAGAGAGACAGAGCACAAGCAGGGGTGGGGTGGGGAGAAAGGGGGACACAGACTCCAAAGCAGGCTCCAGGCTCTGAGCTGTCAGCACAGAGACCAATGTGGGGCTTGAACTCACAGACTGTGAGACGGTGACCTAAACCAAAGCCAGACGCTTAACGGACTGAGCCACCCAGGTAGCCTGAGAGAACATAATTTAAATGCAAGTGAATATTTACGGGCCTCTGCCGTGAGCAAGGCCTTTTTGCACATCCATACAACACCAGATCAAGAAAAGGCTGTTAAATTTTTTTTTTGCACTTTTGCTTCATTGGTTCTAGAAACCAGGGTTCCGGAGGCTGAGTGCTTTCCTGCATAATTTAAGAAATTAATGAAGGCATAGAGGCACTAGTTGATTTGGCCAAAAATTTATGTGGTAAAAAACAGCCCCCCACACAAAATTTAGAAAGTCAAAGACAATCTGCAAAAAATATCGGCAACATTGTTTGCCTCAAAGGGTCTGTGGTAGTGTTTGCCAAAATAGGTTCATTCTTCTTATGTAAAGAGCTCTTGTGAATAAATAAAAGGATGAAACCCCAAGAGGAAACTCGCTAGATAGTATGAATTGACATTTTGCAAAAGAAAAAAAAATTCAATTACCGATAAACATGTGGAAAAAATATGGAACCTCACTAACGATCAAGGAGACGTAAATTAAAGCAGCAATGGCATACTCTACTTTGCTGGACAGATTTCCCCCCCCAAGATAATGCCCGACATTGACGAAGGTACAGGCAACAAGTGACCTGCTATTGGATTCCTACGCTGGTCAGGGCAGTTCTGTAGAGCAACATGGCGGAATGTATCAAGTCATAAAAGAGGGTGTTGACTGTTAGAAATCTATTTCCAGAATATTCTGTGTGCCTCAGGATACACTTACAGCGTTTTTAAAAATAATGGTGAAAAACAGGACTGAAACTAAATCAACAACAATATGGGATTGGTTAACGTTTGTCAGGTCAGTTCACCTCCTGCCCGGCAGCTGTGGAAACTTCCGGAAGGGGAGCATTTTGTCACATGGGAAAATGTTCCAGAAATGTTTTTGCTGTATGAAAAGTACAGGCCACAAGACAGTATGCCCAGTGTGATTCCTTTTCCTGCCAGGAAAAAGATGCCAGTCACTGAAGGCTGGAAGGAGCTACAACAAAGTGTCAACAGTGGCTAGTCTCGGCCGGTGGTGTTACCAGTGACTTGGCATCCTCCACATCACATCCAGCAGTCGTGTGTTTCTTTCACAATTGGACTTACATGGTTCATAAAGATAAATGTTCTAGACCAGTTCCCTCACTGTATGTACCCAGAAGGGGCTGGAGCCTGAGGGATTTCAGCCCTGGAACAAGTTAGCCACAGAACAGAAACTTGAACTCAGTTCTCTTACTGCTCCAAGACTTGGGGCTTGTTCTTAAGAAAAGTGGGGTTTTGTTTGGACTCAAGCGATTCCTTCTCCCAGGATCTCTCATCTGAGAAACCCTCTTTAAGAAAGAGGGGCGCCTGGGGGGTTCAGTCTGTTGAGTGTCCGACTTCAGCTCAGGTCATGATCTCGTGGTTGGTGAGTTCGAGCCCCGTGTCGGACTCTGTGCTGACAGCTCAGAGCTTGGAGCCTGCTGCGGATTCTGTCTCCCTCTCTCTCTCTCTCTCTCTCTCTGTCCCTCCCCGCTCATGCTCTGTCTCTTGCTCTCTCAAAAATAAACATTAAAAAAAACTTTTTTAATAAAAAAAAAAAAAAAGAAAGAATCCACAATGTGGAAAGAGCCATAGGCACAGCACCATTCATCACAGCGTTATTTATGATGGCAAGAATCGCTAGCAGTTGAAATGTTCTCTCGTGGGCATGTTTAAGCAACTGTGGCATGTTCATTGGGCAGAATGTGGCAGACACTGAAAATGGTGGCAATGGGCAGGCGTGCCTATTTGAGAAAGTGCTTTGGTGGCTGTGAGGTGTGATGGAAAAAATTAGGACACAAAATATGTATGTTGTGATTATGGTCACAAATGTAGGATTCAGAAGGGAATGTAATAGGGACACCTGAGTGGCTCAGTTGAGTGTGTAGTCACCTTTGGCTCAGGTCATGATCTCAGGGTTCATGAGTTCCAGCCCCGTGTCGGGCTCACCGTTGTCAGCGCAGGGCCTGCTTGGGATCCTCTGTCCACCCCTCCCACTCTCTCTCTCTCTCTCTCTCTCTCTCTGAAAATAAGTAAACATTAAAAAAAAAGAAGGGAATATAACAATAGAAGAGTACTTGTTAAGGTGGATGATGTGGCTATCAGAAACATTTACTTTCTTTTGTCTTAAAAGTTCCAGTTTTTTGGGGCGCCTGGGTGGCTCAGTCGGTTGAGCGGCCGACTTGGGCTCAGGTCATGATCTCACGGTTCGTGAGTTCAAGCCCCGCGTCGGGCTCTGTGCTGACAGCTCAGAGCCTGGAGCCTGTTTCGGATTCTGTGTCTCCCTCTCTCTGACCCTCCCCCGTTCATGCTCTGTCTCTCTCTGTCTCAAAAATAAATAAACGTTAAAAAAA